CTATGAAGCGGTATATAAGTCTAACTGCTATTGCTATTGCTATAGTTGGAAGAAATGGTGGGAGATCAAATTTTGTTCAAACCAGAAATTTTTCTCCTAGGCATAATACCGGAGGTGTATAAGAAAGATGTGTTTTATCTAATTATACATGTTACTAACTGCGGCGTGTTTAACTTATGCGCAGAAAGAAAGGGAAGGAAAGAAAGAAAGAAAGAAAGAAAGAAAGAAAGAAAGAAAGAAAGAAAGAGAAAGAAAGAGTTAGTTAGTTAGTTAGTTAGTTAGTTAGTTAGTTAGTTAGTTTGTTTGTTTGTTTGTTAGACTTGCATGCCGCCCTATTCCCGAGGGGACTCAGGATGGCTAGCAAACTAAAGGGGATAGGAGTAATACAAAAAAGAAAGAAAGAAGCCCAAGAAGAAGAGGGGGAGCCTCACCTGGGCCTGCTGGTGTGGGGCAGAACCCAGCAAGTGAGCAGAGGGCTTATCATCCGGCAGAAGCTTGGAAGGGATGTACAGGCTGACGTCTGCAAGAGAGACAGAAGCAATGCCCTCCCCTTCAGGGCGTGGCACGGCTGGCTCTTTGCTGGGCAGAGAGAGATTGGCCAGCAGGGCTCAGGAGAAGAGGAGGGCCTTTGGGGCGAGGGACCCTCCCCCAGTGCGTGCTACGCATGGCTATTATCAGAGGCGAATGCTCACTCTCCACTTGCAGCTCCTTCGCCTTCGACATCAGGGAGAGGAGATCCTGGGTGTTGTGGACGGCGGCACGGAAGCGGTTCAGCCCCCCCTTTTGCGCTGGGGGCGGGAGGCTGGCGTGGGGGGCAGAGCGATGGAGAAGTTGGTCGAGGTACTGGGCAACGTCATCGCAGAAGTCAGCTGCAAGGAGAGGAAAGCCTCAGAGAGGTCCAGAGGAGCAGAACGGCCTGCCCAGAGGCTCTTGGCCAAAGCAGAGGACAGCCCCGGGACGGCCTGCAAGGTGGCATCAGCCTGGCAACTCCTTGACAAAGCAGGGGAGGAACACCCCCTCAAAGAAGGCACAAAACCCACAATGGGGACCTCTGGCCAGCAAACAATCGCAAAGCCATTTTCCACAAGGAAAAACATCTTGCCACACCCCTCCGTGTTGCCAGATTGCCCCCCTCCCCGAAGAAGTCCGACTCTCTCCCGCAACCTGTAGGCTGAGAGTGCCAGAGCGATGCTCATGCGTTTCTCCGAGGCTGCCTGGGTGATTCACCGCCCGCACTGGGCCCTACTCGACACTAACACCCACCCCACCACCTCCCACATGCGGCAGCCAAGAAGTTGAAGCATTCCCCCCCCCGCCCCCTTGCAGACATGCAGCAATGCAGCATCCATGCCAGTATTCAGAGGTGGTACGGAGGGGGTTACCGCAGGCTGGTTACAGACATTGTTATGATGGTGGTGGTGAGTCAGAAGAATCCAGAGGGAAAGCGGAGGGGGATGGAGGTGTCTGTGGCAGCAGGAGAAGCCAGCGGAGGGATCTGTCAATGTTGGGGTGTGGGGGGAAGCTCCAGAGGGGAGATGGACAGCAGGTG